GAGTTTCACTCTTGTTACCCAGGCTGGAGTGCAATGGCGCGATCTCGGCTCACCGCAACCTCCGCCTCCTGGGTTCAGGCAATTCTCCTGCCTCAGCCTCCTGAGTAGCTGGGATTACAGGCACGCACCACCATGCCCAGCTAATTTTTAGTATTTTTAGTAGAGATGGGGTTTCACCATGTTGACCAGGATGGTCTCGATCTCTTGACCTCGTGATCCACCCGCCTCGGCCTCCCAAAGTGCTGGGATTACAGGCTTGAGCCACCGCGCCTGGCCAGAAAAAAATTCTTAAAAGAGTCCTCAGGGGAGTAGATAATGAAAAAAACAAAAGTTGAGCAACCCTGCTATAGAATTGCTACGAGGCTAAAAGGAGGTACAGTTTGTACAGTCCTTTGCAAAGAGCCTAGCACTCAAGGACCATTCAATAACTAGTAGATGCCATAATTGTTTGTCCAAGTGTCACTTCATTCCAAATGTACATACTGATTCCAACCATTCTTCAGGGCTATGCAAGTTTTACTGGCATTATAGGGACAGATAAGGCACCACCTTTGACTTCACCAATGAGCTAGGTCAAAGCTAAGCACAACAGCTGAGCACCATTATAAATGGATACACACGGGATCTGGGGGCCAAGGGGAGAGCATAGCTGAGTTCTTTGTTTCTTTCCACTCCCTCCTTCTGGGTTCAATGAAGTCAAAAGGTCACTAGGGACCTGTTTTCCAAATTCACAGCCTTGGCGGCAGCCTCTCTTTCTCACAGCACAGAAGGGAGACCCCCAATCCTCCACCATCACTAAAGCATCATTTTGCTCTGGAGAGTAATTAAGTGGAATTATTATTGATGGCCTCCCATATGGGAAAACATTCTGCTCATTGCTGGAGACGTAAAGATGAATGAAAGAACAAGACTCAGTTTCTTCTCTTGTTTCTGGTGCAAAAAACAAATGCTTAATATGGACACGTTGCTATAACATGATATGAAAGGTCCTATTTGCAGGAAACTGTGAGAACACAAAGAGAATGTTTGAAGAAGTTGATTCAGTTGACTCTTGAAGAATATGCAAGAGTTAACAGAGTGAAAAAGGTGAGAAATGCCTTCTGCAGAGAAGGAGCTCTGTGCACAAAGTGTGGGATGGTAGTGTAGGGAGATACAAGAGAGGGTGAGGTGTGAGGGTTGGAGTGAAAACAAAGGCAGAGGGGACCTGATGGACAGCCTAGACATGGAGGACCTTGAGTGTGAAGTATTGTTTTGCAATGACGATCTGTAGTTGTATGAAACTCAGGTGGAGAAAACCTAGTCTTATAGTTGCAACTGGAGAATCCAAGATTTCCTCCAAGGAGCAGGGCTGTCTGGCCCCCAGTACCCCACATTGCCTGGGCTCAGCTTATCTCCATTCTCACTTCCTTGCTTGCTCCCTTGCTGTGTGCATCAATCTTACTGGCTTATTTCCAGTTCTGTAGATGCCACAGTACCTTTGCATATGTTGCGGTTTTCTCTGCCTGCCGTAGGTCCCCTGTTGTTGATAAGAGTATTAAATTAATATCTGTCTTCCACATTAGACTTCAAATTAGGGACTGTGCCTGTCTTTGTTCAATGTTATAACCTTGGCATCTAGCATGATGTAGGTTCTCAGTAACTGTTTATGTAAGGAAGAAAGGGTGGGAATAAGGACCTTAGCTGTGAATCCAGAACCCCACAAACTTTCATATACCTTTCCCTCTATCCCATTCACTCCCCAGCTGAGACTGTCTGCTTGGAATTTGTTCAAGGGTTAGGGCTAGAACCTAATGTGGCAGTTGAAACAGTAATTTCCTGTCAGGCCTTGTCATTTGAGTAGTTTGCCCCCAGTGGATGAATACTAATTGGCAATGACAGTGAAAGCAACTTTGGTGTTACTTCTTCATAGTTCACTTCCAAAACGGAAACTAAGCATGTTGAATTAATCTTGGTTACCAACATGGTTAGACAAAGTGAGCAAGTGTCTGAGAACTGCAGGCTCCCAAAAGTCCACTTGTGTGTCCATGCAGTGATGGCCCTATAGCTGACTTAGCCATGGAAAGCCTTAGAACCATTGCAGAGGGACCAAGTGGCACCATGCAGTGCTCTTCACGACTGAGCAGGAACATGAAAGCAGAACTGAGAAGGGCACTCACAGCACTCTACAGTAGTCCCTGCTTTTCCTCAGGGGATGAATTCCAAGACCCACAGTGGACACCTCAGTCCGTGGATATTACCCAACCCTATATATGCTTATTTACCCTATACATATATAGTTATGTTAAAGTTTAATTTACAAATTAGGAACTGTAAAATATGAAAAATGATAACTAATGATAAAATAGAACAATGGTAACAATATTCAAAATGACACACAATTTGAAACTTATGAATTGTTTATTTCTGGAATTTCCCATTTAATATTTTCAGACCTGTGTTGACCATGGGTATCTGAAATTGCACCAAGCAAAGCCATGGATATGGGGGAACTACTGTATTCAGGTTTTGATAAGATTTCAGAAGGGTTGTATTCTCCATGAGGTATCGTCTTTATTGAAAACATGCAGTGGTGACAGGCAAATGATCCAGAGTTCAAATCCTGACTCATCATTTACAAAGTGTGTGTATCGGGCACAAACTTTGCCTTCTATGAGCCTTGGTTTCCTTATCGAGAAACTGTGGGGGAAGGGGATCAAAATAGAACTTCATTCGTTGTCATTGTAAAGATTAATTAGAATGATATGTGCAAAATCTGTAACACCAATTCTTGAATGTGAAAAGTGCTCAGTCTGCATTATCCAGTATTATTATGAGTTAATATGATTATCACCATAAGTATCATCCTCCCAGAGTAGAAATATAAGCTTCGATTTTCAGATATTTATTTGGCATTCACATTGTGCTAGGACCTATGTAGATGAGCTTAGATGAGCTTATATTTACATGGCTTTAGCAGTGTGCTAGGTAGAACCTAGGTAAATATTGTTACCAAAAGATGTATACGAGAAAGTTCCTGGCAATAGTATTTGGATCGCCAAGCAGGAAATAATCCAGATGCCCATTGACAATAGAATAGATAAATAGACTCAGTACAGTCACATAATGGAACACTGTATGATGATTAAGGTACATATAGTAGCCTAGATACTATATAGTGATCAGTGATTACTGTTACAGTGATTAGAATAAACTACCATGACTCACAGCCACATGATGAATCTCACAGAATGTAGTGTTGAATGAAGAAGGCAAAGAGGAAAGAGTGCATATTGTATGATTCCATTAGATGGAGTGCAAATGCAGGTAAAACCAATCTATGGTATTAGAAGCTAGAATAATGTAGCCTCTGGGAAAAAGGGTAGGAATTTTACTCAGGAAAGGAGGGAACTGGTAATATGTCATGTTACGGTCTGGGTGCTGGGCAGTTGGGTGTGCTTACTTTGTAAAATTCATTGAGTTGTACATTGTGATGTATGCACTTTTCTGTGTCTACATTATGATTTGATTAAAGGTTTACTAAACAAATGAGTCTGTTCAGCAGAGAGCAGAGAGCATATAGTACAATTTTATGCTTGCCCACAAGGGGCCTCAAAGTCTACAGCAGAAGGCAGATAGGCAATGTGGGCACAGACAATGAGTTATGACACCGCAGTAATAGAAGTTTGTACCACATGCAGAATCACCATCAAAGGGAGCATGATCAGCCATCACAGCCTCTGCTTGTGTCAATGCAGTGTGCTCCATGTGGTTCATGCAGGGGGCCCATCTTCCCCATTCCTTCCCACACATGACGAAGCCATTCTATGACAGGGACCTTGTTCACTTCTGTCCACTCTCCATGTCACTAGCACCACTGCCTTCATTTTGGACAGCCATCTTTGATAAAACACTGAAATGGTTGAAACTGGTTCTCTTGGCCTCTCTTCCTGCCCTTCTTTAAACCACTTGTTATAACCCAGATATGCAAATTACAATCTTTGTATTGGGTCCTCTGGATTCTTACAAAGCACCCTGCGGGCTGGGCATGGTGGCTCACACCTGTAATTCCACCACTTTGAAAAGCCCAGGCAGGTGGATCACCTGAGGTGAGGAATTCGAGACCAGCCTGGCCAACATGGTGAAATCCACTTTCTACTAAAAATTAAAAAATGAGCCATGCATGGTGGTATGTGCCTGTAATGCCAGCTACCCAGGAGACTGAGGCAGGAGAATTGCTAGAGCCTGGGAGGCAGAGGCTGCAGCGAGCCAAGATCGCACCACTGCACTCCATTCAGCCTGAGCCATGGAGCAAGACTGTCTCAAAAGAAAAGCACCCCGTGTGATTCTGAAGCACTGCTCCCCACTGGAAGCAGAGCACACACCCTATCTTGACCCTCTCCACACAGCAAATCATCCAGGGCCACCAGAAAGCACCCTAACTTGCTGGCTTTTCCCAACTTGTCTCCCAGACTTTATCAGCCTCATTTCCAACCTTCCCTTCTAGATCCCCAACATCCCTGCCACCGTTTAAGTTTGCCTCTGAGCCAAGCATGTCATTAATTCTCTTTCCCTGAATCCATTTTGCTATTTATCCCTCATCCCTGTGCCTTCGAATAGCCTGTAATGTCTTCCAGATTCTTACGGGCCATCTCATCTCCTGCTCATCTTCAATACCCAGCTTGAATACTGTCTCTGTGAAGCTCTCCTCAATGCCCCCGAGCACCCTGTGGTTCTGCTCAGTCACCCACACATGCCAGGATTAGATCACTTCCCTCAAGTGTGCATTCTCAGAGCTTAGCACCTGCCTGGAATGTGCGAGGTGGTCAAGGGTGTGTCTTGATTGAGTGAAGTCTTCCAGCACAAAGTCACTTGGGTACAAGCGGCTTCCTGTGGGATAAAGCGCAGCGTTTGTGAACTCTGGGGTGGGGAACTATGTGACAATTCACATTTGACAGATCAGAGATGTCTCAGAGCTAAGCTGCCCAACCTTCTCATGTTCCTTCTGTTGTTTTGTTTCCTAGTGACCTTCAGTGACTGTAAGGGAAATGACAAGCTACGCTATGAGGTCTCAAGCCCATACTTCAAGGTGAACAGCGATGGCAGCTTAGTTGCCCTGAGAAACATAACTGCAGTGGGCAGGACTCTGTTCGTCCACGCACGGACCCTGCATGCAGAAGACATGGCAGAACTCGTGATTGTCGGGGGGAAAGACGTCCAGGGCTCCTTGCAGGTAACACATCTGTTTGAGATAACCTGGGTTCAAGGAGGACATTAGGTTCTGCCTGTCTTATGTGGAAAGTGGGTCTTTATTATATTGACTAAGATTCTTTTTGTCATTGTTGTTGGAAATGACAGAAACCCAACTCTAAATATGTTGGGGAGGGGCAGTGGGAATTGACTGACTCATGTAACTAATTTAGGGATAGTTCATGGGTTAATTCATGTAACTATTTTAGGGATAGTTCTGCCTTCAGGCATGGCTATGTGCTGGTATCCAAATGATGACATCAGCTTTAATCCCAATGCATCTCGTGGTTCCGTTTTCCTTTTATTAGATATACTGAGACGGTCACATCTCTTTCTGCCTCCCGGCATGGGGGTCTCAGCAATTCCTCTTACTTTCCTGGTCTGAAGTCACCTGAGATACCATCTCTTCTAGATGATGCTAACAAAACCTTGAAATTGAATCTCATAGGTTAGATCATGTGCCCACCCCGAACTAAACCTGGTGTCCATTGGGTTGTGATGTTCTGGTTGGCCACATCTTGGCCACATTTCTTTCCCTGAAGCTAGGGCAGAGTCGGCCCTATTCACCTAAAAACATATGGACTGAGAATGAAATAATTGTAGTTACTCTAAGTAAATTAAGGAGCTGTTTTCAGAGGAAGGGAAATGGATGGTGAATAGGCAAGAAACAGTGGCCCGCTAGAATTGCACATGGTCCTGCATACAGTGCTATTATACATATATGATGTGTGTGTGCATGTGCATATATATGTACATGTATATATTACATTCACATATACCACATGTATGTATATGATGCTGTATGTGTATATGGTATATATTTATGTAAATACCATATACATGTGTGTATACCATATACGTGTGTATACTATATATGTGTGTATACCATATACAATGTACCATGATATATGTACCATATACATATGCATATATGTATGTGTATACACACACATATACATCCACGTTTAATATGTCAGAGATACCTCAAAGCTAAGCTGCCCAACCTACTCATGTTCATTCTGTTGTTTTGTTTTGTTTTGCTTCCCAGCGACCTTCAGTGACTTCAGTATATGTATGTGTGTTTATGTATATATGTATATGTAATTGTATATGGTGCTGTATATGTATATGGTGTATATATATGTCTATATGTATGTGTATACTCACTCTTATGCACCCACATTTAACAGGTCACAGATATCTCAAAGCTAAGCTGCCCAACCTACTCATGCTCCTTCTATTGTTTTGTTTCCCAATGACCTTTGGTGACTTTGCGTGTGTGTGTGTGTGTGTATGTGTATGTGTGTGTGTGTGTGTGTGTATGTATATACAGGCATACACATACTGTATATGGACATATACAGTGTATATATATGTGTGCATATACATATACACGGTATATCTGTATTGTATGTCTGTGTAGTTGCATATGGTGCTGTAAATGTATATGGTGCACATGTATGTCTCTTTATACACTGTGTATAGGTATGTGTGTGTATACATACATACATGGTACATCTGTATTAGACGTCTGTGTAATTGCATACGGTGTTCCTCCTTTGCCGAGCAGCAATGCTTGTTCCCTTACACAAGCACATGCATGCTGATCCTTGCGCTCCCACACATACATTTACACTTTATGAGTGCCACAAACTGCCATTCAGGCTTCCCTATTGTGCCATTCAGAGACTTTTTTCTACCACTGACTCTCTCCTTCACCAGGAGCTCAGAGACTCCAGCGTCATGAGAAAAGGAGGGCAAGACACACAGCAGGACTCCAGCCAAACAATGACTTACCGATGGCATGTCCCAGCTTGGCGTGCCTAGCCTTCTCGCCTATCTGCAAGCTTCGTCTTCCTCAATTTTTCACAGCCCCTGATTCACATCCCTTTTCTTCACCTGCCGTATTACTCATATTCCTGCCTGATGTGCTGATTTTGTTCAGTGGTGGAGTGAGCGTGGGTCACACAGCTGGGAGTAGAGACAGTATGACTGGCAATGTGAAGGTTGCCTTCCTGCCAGTGCTGTCTGTGTGATCTTGAGAGCATCATATAGCTTCTTTATCTGCAGAGTAGAGCGGTTAAACAGCCTGCAGTGGCAAATAAGTGGCTCGTGTGCCATCCTACTGTCCCCATTCTCATGGCAGATATTGCTAATAACCTTTGGCGTAGCCCAAATATCCTTCTCAGTACAATGCTTCTGGAACATGCTATCAATTGATCATTTAGTGATGTTTCTGAGGATGGAATGTATTTGCCTCTCCTGGACTGGACAAACTTCACAATTTCCCTTCATATCTGTGAAGCTGTGAGTTAAGGATAGATTGCAATGTAAAAGGAATGCACAGCATATCAGTGATGTTTCAGAGAACACAGGATATTGGCGAACTAATAACCAGTGTGGAAATTCATGATACCACAAAGGCAAGCTTTTCTCTTTCTTAGCCATGACCATTTTCACAACATCTCACTAATCTGCGATATAAATTATGTGGCAAATATCTAAAGCAACAAAGTTTCCAGGATGCACAGCAAACGTAGTGTTGCATAGGAATATGTAAATGGTATGGTAAGGGGTTTGCCCACAGACTTGATTGTATTTAGATAGAAATTGTTCATCATGAATGGTGGCTCATCTTTTTTATCTGGAAAAGACAGTGTCGTAGTGTTTTGCTTGAAAGAGAGCAGAAGGGGTTCTGAGCAGGTAGTCAGGATCAACTCCACCTTGAGGGGCTCTAAGAGCTTGGTTCTTTATGAAAACTCAGCCATGTGTTGTTGGTCCCTGGAGTTCCTGTGAGATGCTATCCAGAGACAGTGCTCCTCTGAGCCCTGGCTGTTTCTCACTTGCCTGTCTGTACGCATTTTCAACAAAACTTGGCTGTATTTGTTTGCTCCTTATAAAGCAGGTGGAGATTGCCGTGTTCTTCAGTTAGCCAGACTTCAGCAGAACAGGGTGTTCATCTCCCACCTCCAGTGATTTTATGAGGTTTGAAAACAGGCTTTGTGAAGATGTATTAGCCGTGTCCTTAACAAAAAGCACCCAAAAAGGAAAAAAGAAAATAAAGGGAAAACAAAATAGATAGCAAAAGAATCTTCTGAAGAGAGCACAGACCTCACTGGATGTGTAGTTGGTATTTTTTCAGTCCTATTGTGTGCAGCCAAGTGGGCCAGCTGCTAGCGAGGGAAATCAGTGAGTGCCTGAGTCAGCTCAGCCCCTATTGGGGAGGGAAAGTGAGTGTGTGCATAGATGCTTGGGTACCAGGCAGGGAGCTAACAGTGATTGATGATCTGTGCATTTGGAAAGGGGAGACGTCAAGGGGAGCTGGGGTGGTCCTCACGGCACCAGCCATGTGCCAGGTGTTGCTCCATGGGCTGCAAACACTGACTCATGTAATCTAGCGATTGGAGGCAGATTCTACTATCTCCTGTTTACTGATTTTACTGATGGGGGAACTGACATACAAGAGGCAAGTGACATTTCCAAGATCTCAAAATGAGTAAGAAGTTGGATGGAAATGAGACTTGAGCCCCGGCAGCCTAGCTCCTGAGTCCATGCCTCCAATCCCTCCATGAGCTGGACTTTGAAGGATGGGCCAATGTGCGTAGTTGGGAGTGTCTATAAGGGAAATGTCTGACTGTCTGCAAGATGTTTCTCTTCTTAGCTGTGTTACCTGCAGTAAATTGCTTTACCTTCTGAGCCTCTATGTAGTTTTGATTTTTTTCGTTTGTGAAATATAAATAATAGACCTATTTGGATCTTCATGTGGATTAAATGACACGATACATGTAGCCGTAATACATAGCACTCAGCGGATGCTACAGCAATGACCAACACCTGATGCTTACATAGTACTTACTGTATGCTAAACCTGGGCTTATTCAAGTCTTGCATCCTCATAACATGCAAAGGGAAGCTGTTACTACTGGTGCTATTATGATTAGTTAGTAGGTGGCAGAGCTGGGGCTTAGACCTCAGTAGTGTGGCTCCAGAGTTCTCGTTTTTTGTGTGTTTGTTTATTTGTTTGAGACAGGATCTCACTCCCATCTCACAGGCTGGAGTACAATGGTACAATCTCAGCTCACTGCCACCTCTGCCTCCCGGGTTCAAGCAATTCTCCTGCCTCAGCCTCCCAAGTAGCTGAGATTACAGGCACCCACCACCACACTTGGCCAATTTTTGTATTTTTAGTAGAGAAGGGATTTCGCCATGTTGGCCAGGCTGCTCTTGAACTCTTGACCTTAAGTACCGCCTCAGCCTCCCAAAATGCAGTGATTATAGGCGTGAGCTGCAGTGCCCAACCCGGCGCTCTCTGCTTTATCAGGAGGTTCTATTGGCTCACCATCTGGAACAGAGCAAGACTGTACAATGTTCATTTCCACCAGTGCAATTATATTAGAGGCAAGCAGGGCCTGGAACCCAGAATGTCAGATAGTCAGGACCAGTTCAGTGCCCTTCCCACATCCCCTTTGCCCATGACTGAACCTTATAGAACACTCCTGCAACTGCCTGTAAATTCCGGCCCTTGATGTCTGGCTCCCACTCAGCATCCCTCTTCCTTGCACTCTGCATCCTGCTTTTCCCAGCCCTTTGGTTGGTGACACTGTTGGGCAACCTGGGTGCAATCTGTCTTCTCATTCTCAGCTGGGAGCTCTGCAGTTCCCAGAGATGATTTGGCTCTATCTCAGGGAATAGCCTTGGCACTCCCTACTTCCCACACAAGCCAGGGTCCAGCATCCCAGTGTCTACTTTTCTGGGCCAGGGAAAGCTGGAACAGAAGGGGAATGCTAAATAAAAGCATGGGAACTGGTGGACAGACAGGGTGGAGACAGCCAGTGAAGACCAGTAGAAGGGATTTTAGGTTGATATGAAAGAAGCAAAGGAGCCATTGTAGGTTCTTGAGCAGAGAAACAGGCGGGATAAAAATAATCCTTGGTGGTGTTCACCCAGAAGCCTTGACTGGAGTAGGGAGGGACTAGAGCTACT